TGTGTCCTATACAACTTCAAAGAACTCATTTGAGAGTAATAGTTATTCGGAAGAAAAAGTCAATTTTAAAAAAGTAATAGATTTCCCAGTCCGGGAGTCCAACCCGGGCCTTGTGGGTGAAAGCCACAAATCCTAACTGCTAGACCAACTGGGATATGATCCTGAGTTATTATTTTTTCCCAATAAAGTGAACGCCTATTTGGTACGTTTTGCTATTCAAAGATGAACTTGCACAAGTTTTCAACTATGGTCGATCCATGTAGTTTCTCAACATTTTGTGTTTGTGTATCCTATACAACTTCAAAGCACTCATTTGAGAGTAATAGTTATTCGGAAGAAAAAGTCAATTTTAAAAAAGTAATAGATTTCCCAGTCCGGGAGTCCAACCCGGGCCTTGTGGGTGAAAGCCACAAATCCTAACTGCTAGACCAACTGGGATATGATCCTGAGTTATTATTTTTTCCCAATAAAGTGAACGCCTAATTGGCACGTTTTGCTATTCAAAGATGAAGTTTAACAAGTTTTCTACTATCGTCAATCCATTTAATTTCTCAACGTTTTTGTGTTCGTGTATCCTATACAACTTCAAAGAACTAATTTGAGAGTAAGAGTTATTCGGAAGAAAAAATCATTTTAAAAAAGTAATAGATTTCCCAGTCCGGGAGTCGAACCCGGGCCTTGTGGGTGAAAACCACAAATCCTAACCGCTAGACCAACTGGGATATGATCGTGAGTCCTTATTTTTGTCCCAATAAAGTGAACGCCTAATTGGCACGTTTTCTATTCAAAGATGAACTTGCACAAGTTTTCAACTATGGTCGATCCATGTAGTTTCTCAACATTTTGTGTTTGTGTATCCTATACAACTTCAAAGAACTCATTTGAGAGTAATAGTTATTCGGAAGAAAAAATCAATGTAAAAAATTAATACATTTCCGAGTCCGGGAGTCCAACCCGGGCCTTGTGGGTGAAAGCCACAAATCCTAACTGCTAGACCAACTGGGATATGATCCTGAGTTCTTTTTTTGTCCCAATAAAGTGAACGCCTAATTGGCAAGTTTTGCTTTTCAAAGATGAAGTTGAACAATTTTTCTACTATCGCCAATCCATTTAATTTCTCAACGTTTTTGTGTTCGTGTATCCTATACAACTTCAAAGAACTCATTTGAGCGTAATATTTATTCGGAAGAAAAAATCAATATAAAAAAAGTAATAGATTTCCCAGTCTGGGAGTCGAACCCGGGCCTTGTGGGTGAAAGCCACAAATCCTAACCGCTAGACCAACTGGGATATGATCGTGAGGCCTTATTTTTGTCCCAATAAAGTGAACGCCTAAATGGCACGTTTTCTATTCAAAGATAAACTTGCAAAAATTTTCTACTATGATCGAGCCAGGTAGTTTCTTAACATTTTCTGTTCGTGTATCCTATACAACTTCAAAAAATCAATTGAGCATAATAGTTATCCGGAAAAAATCAATTTAAGAAAATATTAGCTTTCCCAGTCCGGGAGTCGAACCCGGTCCTTGTGGGTGAAAGCCAAAAGCCTAACCACTAGACCAACTGGGATACGCAACAGTGTTCTAGTTTTTGTCCCAATAAAGTGAACGCCTGATTGGCACGTTTTCCATTCAAAGATAAACACGCACAAGTTTTCAACTATGATCGATCCATGTAGCTTCTCAACATTTTGTGTTCGTGTATCCTATACAACTTCAAAAAACACATTTGAGCCTAATAGTAATTCGGAAGAAAAAATCAATTTAAAAAAGTGATATATTTCGAAGTCCGGGCGTCGAACACCGGCCTCGTGGGTGGAAGCCACAAATCCTATCCTCTAGACCAACTTGGATATGATTGTGAGTCCTTATTTTTGTCCCAATAAAGTGAACGCCTAATTGGCACGTTTTGCTATTCAAAGATGAAGTTTAACAAGTTTTATACTATCGTCAATCCATTTAATTTCTCAACGTTTTTGTGTTCGTGTATCCTATAAAACTTCAAAGAACTAATTTGAGAGTAAGAGTTATTCGGAAGAAAAAATCAATTTAAAAAAGTAATAGATTTCCCAGTCCGGGAGTCGAACCCGGGCCTTGTGGGTGAAAGCCACAAATCCTAACCGCTAGACCAACTGGGATATGATCTTGAGTCCTTATTTTTGCCCCAATAAAGTGAACGCCTAAATGGCACGTTTTCTATTCAAAGATGAACTTGCAAAAGTTTTCTACTATGATCGAGCCAGGTAGCTTCTTAACATTTTCTGTTCGTGTATCCTATACAACTTCAAAAAATCAATTGAGCATAATAGTTATCTGGAAAAAATCAATTTAAAAAAATACTAGCTTTCCCAGTCCGGGAGTCGAACCCGGTCCTTGTGGGCGAAAGCCGAAATCCTAACCACTACACCAACTGGGATACGGAACAGTGTTCTAGTTTTTGTCCCAATAAAGTGAACGCCTGATTGGCACGTTTTTCCATTCAAAGATAAACATGCACAAGTTTTCAACTATGATCGATCCATGTAGCTTCTCAACATTTTGTGTTCGTGTATCCTATACAACTTCAAAAAACACATTCGAGCGTAATAGTAATTCGGAAGAAAAAATCAATTTAAAAAAAGTGATAGGTTTCGCAGTCCGGGGCGTCGAACACGGGCCTTGTGGGTGGTGGAAGCCACAACTCCTAACCTCTAGACCAACTTGGATATGATTGTGAGTCCTTATTTTTGTCCCAATAAAGTCAACGCCTAATTGGCACGTTTTCTATTAAAGATGAACTTGCACAAGTTTTCATTTATGGTCGATCCATGTAGTTTCTCAACATTTTGTGTTTGTGTATCCTATACAACTTCAAAGATTTCATTTGAGAGTAATAGTTATTCGGAAGAAAAAATCAATTTAAAAAGTAATAGATTTGCCAGTCCGGGAGTCCAACCCGGGCCTTGTGGGTGAAAGCCACAAATCCTAACCGCTAGACCAACTGGGATATGATCCTGAGTTCTTTTTTTGTCCCAATAAAGTGAACGCCTAATTGGCAAGTTTTGCTATTCAAAGATGAAGTTGAACAAGTTTTCTACTATCGTCAATCCATTTAATTTCTCAACGTTTTTGTGTTCGTGTATCCTATACAACTTCAAAGAACTAATTTGAGAGTAAGAATTATTCGGAAGAAAAAATCAATTTAAAAAAGTAATAGATTTCCCAGTCCGGGAGGCGAACCCGGGCCTTATGGGTGAAAGCCACAAATCCTAACCGCTAGACTAACTGGGATATGATCGTGAGGCCTTATTTTTGTCCCAATAAAGTGACCGCCTAATTGGCACGTTTTCTATTCAAAGATGAACTTGCACAAGTTTTCATTTATGGTCGATCCATGTAGTTTCTCAACATTTTGTGTTTGTGTATCCTATGCATAATAGTTATCCGGAAAAAATCAATTTAAAAAATACTAGCTTTCCCAGTCCGGGAGTCGAACACGGTCCTTGTGGGTGAAAGCCAAAATCCTAACCACTAGACCAACTGGGATACGCAACAGTGTTCTAGTTTTTGTCCCAATAAAGTGAACGCCTGATTGGCACGTTTTTCCATTCAAAGATAAACACGCACAAGTTTTCAACTATGATCGATCCATGTAGCTTATCAACATTTTGTGTTCGTGTATCCTATACAACTTCAAAAAACACATTTGAGCGTAATAGTAATTCGGAAGAAAAAATCAATTTAAAAAAAGTGATAGATTTCGCAGTCCGGGCGTCGAACACGGGCCTTGTGGGTGGAAGCCACAAATCCTAACCGCTAGGCCAACTTGTGTATCCTATGCATACTAGTTACCCGGAAAAAATCAATTTAAAAAATACTAGCTTTCCCAGTCCGGGAGTCGAACCCGGTCCTTGTGGGTGAAAGCCAAAATCCTAACCACTAGACCAACTGGGATACGCAACAGTGTTCTAGTTTTTGTCCCAATAAAGTGAACGCCTCATTGGCACGTTTTTCCATTCAAAGATAAACACGCACAAATTTTTTTGAACTATGATCGATCCATGTAGCTTGTCAACGTTTTTGTGTTCGTGTATCCTATACAACTTCAAAGAACTCATTTGAGCGTAATCTTTATTCGGAAGAAAAAATCAATTTAAAAAAAGTAATAGATTTCGCAGTCCGGGCGTCGAACACGGGCCTTGTGGGTGAAAGCCACAAATTCTAACCTCTAGACCAACTGGGATATGATCGTGAGTCCTTATTTTCGTCCCAATAAAGTGAACGCCTAATTGGCACGTTTTCTATTCAAAGATGAACTTGCACAAGTTTTTATTTATGATCGATCCAGGTAGTTTCTCAACATTTTGTGTTTGTGTATCCTATACAACTTCAAAGAACTCATTTGAGAGTAATAGTTATTCGGAAGAAAAAATCAATTTAAAAAAGTAATAGATTTCCCAGTCCGGGAGTCCAACCCGGGCCTTGTTGGTGAAAGCCACAAATCCTAACCGCTAGACCAACTGGGATATGATCCAGAGTTCTTTTTTTGTCCCAATAAATAGAACGCCTAATTGGCAAGTTTTGCTATTCAAAGATGAAGTTGAACAAGTTTTCTACTATCGTCAATCCATTTAATTTCTCAACGTTTTTGTGTTCGTATATCCTATACAACTTCAAAGAACTCATTTGAGCGGAATATTTATTCGGAAGAAAAAATCATTTTTAAAAAAGTAATAGATTTCCCAGTCCGGGAGTCGAACCCGGGCCTTGTGGGTGAAATCCACAAATCCTAACCGCTAGACCAACTGGGATATGATCGTGAGTACTTATTTTTGTCCCAATAAAGTGAACGCCTGATTGGCACGTTTTTCCATTCAAAGATAAACACGCACAAGTTTTCAAATATGATCGATCCATGTAGTTTCTCAGCATTTTGTGTTCGTGTGTCCTATACAACTTCAAAAAACACATTTGAGCGTAATAGTAATTGGAAGAAAAAATCAATCTAAAAAAAGTAATAGATTTCGCAGTCCGGGAGTCGAACCCGGGCCTTGTGGGTGGAAGTCACAAATCCTAACCTCTAGACCAACTGGGATATGATCTTGACACCTTATTTTTGTCCCAATAAAGTGAACGTCTAATTGGCACGTTTTCTATTCAAAGATGAACTTGCACAAGTTTTCAACTATGGTCGATCCATGCAGTTTCTCAACATTTTGTGTTTGTGTATCCTATACAACTTCAAAGAACTCATTTGAGAGTAATAGTTATTCGGAAGAAAAAATCAATTTAAAAAAAATAGATTTCCCAGTCCGGGAGTCGAACCCGGGCCTTGTGGGTGAAAGCCACAACTCCTAACCGCTAGACCAACTGGGATATGATCGTGAGTCCTTATTTTTGTCCCAATAAAGTGAACGCCTAAATGGCACGTTTTCTATTCAAAGATGAACTTGCAAAAATTTTCTATTATGATCGAGCCAAGTAGTTTCTTAACATATTCTGTTCGTGTATCCTATACAACTTCAAAAAATCAATTGAGCATAATAGTTATCCGGAAAAAATCAATTTAAAAAATAACTAGCTTTCCCAGTCCGGGAGTCGAACCCGGTCCTTGTGGGTGAAAGCCAAAATCCTAACCACTAGACTAACTGGGATATGCAACCGTGTTCTAGTTTTTGTCCAAATAAAGTGAACGCCTGAATGGCACGTTTTTTCCAATCAAAGATAAACACGCACAAGTTTTCAACTATGATCGATCCATGCAGTTTCTCAACATTTTGTGTTTGTGTATCCTATACAACTTCAAAGAACTCATTTGAGAGTAATAGTTATTCGGAAGAAAAAATCAATTTAAAAAAATAGATTTCCCAGTCCGGGAGTCGAACCCGGGCCTTGTGGGTGAAAGCCACAAATCCTAACCGCTAGACCAACTGGGATATGCTCGTGAGTCCTTATTTTTGTCCCAATAAAGTGAACGTCTAATTGGCACGTTTTCTATTCAAAGATGAACTTGCACAAGTTTTCAACTATGGTCGATCCATGCAGTTTCTCAACATTTTGTGTTTGTGTATCCTATACAACTTCAAAGAACTCATTTGAGAGTAATAGTTATTCGGAAGAAAAAATCAATTAAAAAAAATAGATTTCCCAGTCCGGGAGTCGAACCCGGGCCTTGTGGGTGAAAGCCACAAATCCTAACCGCTAGACCAACTGGGAAATGATCGTGAGTCGTTATTTTTGTCCCAATAAAGTGAACGCCTGAATGGCACGTTTTCTATTCAAAGATGAACTTGCAAAATTTTTTTTGTATTATGATCGAGCCAAGTAGTTTCTTAACATATTCTGTTCGTGTATCCTATACAACTTCAAAAAATCAATTGAGCATAATAGTTATCCGGAAAAAATCAATTTAAAAAATAACTAGCTTTCACAGTCCGGGAGTCGAACCCGGTCCTTGTGGGTGAAAGCCAAAATCCTAACCACTAGACTAACTGGAATATGCAACCATGTTCTAGTTTTTGTCCAGGTAAAGTGAACGCCTGATTGGCACGTTTTTTCCATTCAAAGATAAACACGCACAAGTTTTCAACTATGATCGATCCATGTAGTTTCTCAACATTTTGTGTTCGTGTATCCTACACAACTTCAAAAAACACATTTGAGCGTAATAGTAATTCGGAAGAAAAAATCAATTTAAAAAAGGAATAGATTTCGCAGTCCAGGAGTCGAACCCGCGCCTTGTGGGTGAAAGTCACAAATCCTAACCTCCAGACCAACTGGGATATGATCGTGAATCCTTATTTTGGTCCCAATAAAGTGAACGCCTAATTGGTAAGTTTTGCTATTCAAAGATGAAGTTGAACAAGTTTTCTACTATCGTCAATCCATTTAATTTCTCAACGTTTTTGTGTTCGTGTATCCTATACAACTTCAAAGAACTCATTTGAGCGTAATATTTATTCGGAAGAAAAAATCAATTTAAAAAAAGTAATAGATTTCCCAGTCCGGGATTCGAACCCGGACCTTGTGGGTGAAAGCCACAAATCCTAACCGCTAGACCAACTGGGATATGATCGTTAGTCTTTTTTTGTCCCAATTAAGTGAACGCCTAAATGGCACGTTTTCTATTCAAATATGAACTTTAAAAAATTTTCTACTACGATCGAGCCTGGTAGTTTCTTAACATTTTCTGTTCGTGTATCCTAGACAACTTCAAAAAATCAATTGAGCATAATAGTTATCCGGAAAAAATCAATTGAAAAAAATACTATCTTTCCCAGTCCGGGAGTGGAATCCGGTCCTTGTGGGTGAAAGCCAAAATCCTAACCACTAGACGAACTGGGATATGCAATTGTGATCTAGTTTTTGTCCCAATAAAGTGAACGCCTGATTGGCACGTTTTTCCATTCAGAGATAAACACGCACAAGTTTTCAACTATGATCGATCCATGTAGTTTCTCAACATTTTGTGTTTGTGTGTCCTATACAACTTCAAAAAACACATTTGAGCGTAATAGTTATTCGGAAGAAAAAATCAATTTAAAAAAAGAAATAGATTTCCCAGTCCGGGAGTCGAACCCGGGCCTTGTGGGTGAAAGCCAAAAATCCTAACCGCTAGACCAACTGGGATATGATCGTGAGTCCTTATTTTTGTCCCAATAAAGTGAACGCCTAAATGGCACGTTTTCTATTCAAAGATGAACTTGCAAAAATTTTCTACTCTGATCGAGCCAAGTAGTTTCTTAACATTTTCTGTTCGTGTATCCTATACAACTTCAAAAAATCAATTGAGCATAATAGTTATCCGGAAAAAATCAATTTAAAAAAATACTAGCTTTCCCAGACCGGAAGTCGAACCCGGTCCTTGTGGGTGAAAGCCAAAATCTTTACCACTAGACCAACTGGGATATGCAACCGTGTTCTAGTTTTTGTCCCAATACAGTGAACGCCTGATTGGCACGTTTTTCCATTCAAAGATAAACACGCACAAGTTTTCAACTATGATCGATCCATGTAGTTTCTCAACATTTTGTGTTTGTGTGTCCTATACAACTTCAAAAAACACATTTGAGCGTAATAGTAATTCGGAAGAAAAAATCAATTTAAAAAAAGTAATAGATTTCCCAGTCCGGGAGTCGAACCCAGGCCTTGTGGGTGAAAGTCACTAATCCTAACCTCTAGACCAACTGGGATACGATCTTGACTCCTTATTTTTGTCCCAATAAAGTGAACGCCTAATTGGCAAGTTTTGCTATTCAAAGATGAAGTTGAACAAGTTTTCTACTATCGTCAATCCATTTTATTTCTCAACGTTTGTGTGTTCGTGTATCCTATACAACTTCAAAGAACTCATTTGAGCGTAATATTTATTCGGAAGAAAAAATCAATTTAAAAAAAGTAATAGATTTCCCAGTCCGGGAGTCGAACCCGGGCCTTGTGGGTGAAAGCCACAAATCCTAACCGCTAGACCAACTGGGATATGATCGTGAGTCTTTATTTTTGTCACAATAAAGTGAACGCCTAAATGGCACGTTTTCTATTCAAAGATGAACTTTTAAAAATTTTCTACTACGATCGAGCCAGGTAGTTTCTTAACATTTTCTGTTCGTCTACCCTATACAACTTCAAAAAATCAATTGAGCATAATAGTTATCCGGAAAAAATCAATTTAAATAAATACTAGCTTTCCCAGTCCGCGAGTGGAATCCGGTGCTTGTGGGTGAAAGCCAAAATCCTAACCACTAGACCAACTGGGATATGCAATTGTGTTCTAGTTTTTGTCCCAATAAAGTGAACGCCTGATTGGCACGTTTTTCCATTCAAAGATAAACACGCTAAAGTTTTCAACTATGATCGATCCATGTAGTTTCTCAACGTTTTGTGTTCGTGTGTCCTATACAACATCACAAAACACATTTGAGCGTAATAGTAATTCGGAAGAAAAAATCAATATAAAAAAGTAATAGATTTTGCAGTCCGGGAGTCGAACCCGGGCCTTGTGGGTGAAAGCCACAAATCCTAACCTCTAGACCAACTGGGATATGCTCTTGACTCTTTATTTTTGTCCCAATAAAGTGAACGCCTAATTGGCACGTTTTCTATTAAAGATTAACTTGCACAAGTTTTCAACTATGGTCGATCCATGTAGTTTCTCAACATTTTGTGTTTGTGTATCCTATTCAACTTCAAAGAACTCATTTGAGCGTAATATTTATTCGGAAGAAAAAATCAATATAAAAAAAGTAATAGATTTCCCAGTCCGGGAGTCGAACCCAGGCCTTGTGGGTGAAAGTCACTAATCCTAACCTCTAGACCAACTGGGATATGATCGTGAGTCCTTATTTTTGTCCCAATAAAGTGAACGCCTAAATGGCACGTTTTCTATTCAAAGATGAACTTGCAAAAAATTTCCACTATGATCGAGCAAAGTAGTTTCTTAACATTTTCTGTTCGTGTATCCTATACAACTTCAAAAAATCAATTGAGCATAATAAATATCCGGAAAAAATCAATTAAAAAAAATAGCTTTACCAGTCCGGGAGTCGAACCCGGTCCTTGTGGGTGAAAGCCAAAATCCTAACCACTAGACCAACTGGGATATGCAACCGTGTTCTAGTTTTTGTCCAAATGAAGTGAACGCCTGATTGGCACGTTTTTCCATTCAAAGATAAACACGCACAAGTTTTCAACTATGATCGATCCATGTAGGCATATTACTGTTATCTGTATTTTTTTCGAATACAATGAGCGCCTAATTGGCACGTTTTTCTGTTTGAAGATAAACACGCACAATTTTCTGCCCTGATCGATTCATGAAGTTTTTCAACAATTTAAGTTCTTGTAACCTATTCAACTTCAAAGAGATCTTAAAGAACTCAATTGAGCGTAATAGTTAATAGGAAGAAAAAATCAATTGAAAAATTAATAGATCCAGTACGGGAGTCGAACTCGGGCCTTGTGGGTGAGAGCTACAAATCCTGACCGCTAGACCAACTGGGATATAAAGTTATCTGTTTTTTTTTCGAATACAGTGAGCGCCTAATTGGCACGTTTTTCTATTTGAAGATAAACACGCACAAGTTTTCTGCTCTGATC